ATTCGTCATTATCGGCGGGTTCCTACAATAACAAAACGCAATATTAGATACGTAAAGAAGTACTGCACAAAATATAGGAAAAGCCCCTGAATTAACTTCATGCTTCTAAACTGCACTTTAATAGCGTGTGACAAGAGTCACATTTGAGCAGGACATGCGGCAGCAGGCAGTGGTATATGTAACGTACACGCCGATACGTATATGTGATTGTCTGGGACCTTGTCATAATTGATAAAAATTAATTAAAAAGCCCTACTTACAAGTAATTATTAGCAAGTCTATTGACTTGCATGTACGCGTGTTCTACGCAAGTGGCTAAGCTCACGTCCCCTCTCAGTCACCGGCGTCAGTGCGAACATGCAGACACGTTACTACTGGGTGGGCCGTGGCCCGAGAGCAAAGTCAAACTTAATCGATACGAACGCTCACCGGCGCTGCGAGAGAGTTAGCGCGCGCACGCATACACACACACACGCACGCACGCACGCGCACGGCCGCAGACTACATTCGTATCGATTATGTCTGGTTTTGGTCTTTCGTCATGACTCACCAAGTGGTAAAGTGTCTGAATGTTCGCCTTGACGCCGGTCGCCTAGTATGCCTTCCAAGTAAATCCTGAGTGAAGAGATCAGAGGTCTCCTCCGCCATCTTAGCGCGCTGGCGAGCCTCCTCCAATGTGAAGTATGTTCCCAGTATCCTAACTGGGTGAAAAGGCGTCCCCTCGGGTGGACGCTCCTCATTCTCCAAACACCGCCTTCGCACTCTTGGGTTATCTGGCCACATGAGCAGACCCTTGTCATGTTCGTGGAACCACTTCTCCCCAACAACATCAACAGAATTTTCGTTGACTAATACAACCACGATATACATCTAAATGAAAATCAGGGGTCATAGGTGCAGTCATTCATTCACATTAATAACAAAACGGGAAAACGAAAAGTTAATAAAAATTTTATTGCTCCGAAAAAGTATGTAAAAGAGATATCAGGTAGAAGTAGTTGTCAATTAAAAATGGGACATATTAACAAAGAATGTCAATAAGTGAAGCAGAAAACGGAGTGTTTTCCAAAGTGGAGGCTTTAAGCATAAAAATGGTTGAGGATGAAAAAGAGGGGGTGGTAAAGGGGTCGGTGCAATCACTAAAAGATCGATAACGCATACAGTCGGCCGCAAATGCAGTAAGTTGACACGGTCAATTACCAATGAGTACTACATTGTCAGGAGATTCCGTGGATAATACATAGCCTTTATGAATGCTTGCGGTAGATCCGCGGGGCAAATTATGGGGCCGTGAAACGCCAAAGTCGTCGTCCAACATAATCGAGCTGGCTGTCAACTCCAGGTGACGCCTTTAGAAGTAGCGCCGGTACACCTGCGCGGCTACATGTGAGATTCACTAATACCTTCTCTTACATCTTTAAAATAGGATTCGAAGGGAAAAGCCGAAAAGTTGTCTAACATTCCGAAACGACAAACGTCGTCCGGAAGATGGTTTCGTTTGTACAAGAGTGGGTAGTCGTGGACAAAATTAGTCAACAATTGCCCACCAAGGTCAGCATTACGGTTGTAAAACTGGGGATGATAAAAAATATAAATAGCCATAGACGACATTAAAAAATAATTATGAAGATCAGAGTCAAGGAAATGGGGTAAAACAACGGGGCCTATGTACAGTAAAAACTGCCGATACTCGGACGCCTTCCAAAACTTGAGATGGTCCAGCGATCTGCATTTTCGTGCGAATTCGGCCGGTAGGTATGGACTGCAAGTGTCAATATAATATGTTTATTATGCCAGTTTACAGGCAATTGTGAAGAGTTGGTAGT